ATGAGCCGTCGTCTCATTTTTTCCATTCCTTCCCGGCTCACAGGACCTCCTCTCAGATGTCGAGCTGATGCCTCTGAAGTACCTCAAGCAGGACTCCTGAGTGCCTCTGACTCATATCAACACCTACTCCACAATTCCCTGCCCCCTTGACTCTCTTTTAGGATCATTTGCATATAATATGTTTCTTACATTTTTGATTTTGAAAATTATATCTCAGGTTCGTTTAGTAGCTCAGGACTGTCAGCCACATCCATCAACAACGGCCCTCGTCAGCAGGTTGGTTTCCACTGTATTTCAGATTGCCACTGACTACAGCGTGCCTCAGCACCTTCTACAACCTTTAAACCTCACATGAACATCATGCTTTGCGAGTAGAAAAAAAACTGTATCACTGTTTATTTTCTGTTAATACTTCTCTTAATCTGCCTAACATCATCAACCACATTTTGAGTCAGTCCATGTGTTTATTGACAAATGACATTGAAAAGTTAAAAATAGGCTACTAAAGTTATTATGTTGATTTCATGGTTTTTCATTTCCACGTGTGGAGACAGCTCCTGATCTGCAGTTTCACTACGACATCTGAAAACCACAAAGGAAATGCAATGCTAATTTGTGATCAAAAACAATAATCAACCTGGAGACTGTGAGGGCTTTGAGACATGTGACTAACCAGGCTGGATGAGTGCTGCTACATCCTTCCTCATCTCCAGCTTTGCAGAGATGTTTTTCTGGACAGGTAAAACTGTTTCCTCATGAGGAGTCATGCAATCCTTGGATGCAATTACTGTTTCCTTTGTAAGGACGACTCCTGAATGACGTTTAGCTCCTCCATGTTCATTGTCAGGTTTGTAATGGTTATGTTTTGGGTGCTGTTCAGTGTGTTGTCCTCCACAGAGAAGAATGGATGCTCCAGCACCTCCAGGGGTATTATTCGCCCATTTTTGTCCACCATCAGCATCTTTTTAAGAGGTCCAACAAGTGTCGCACCTGGTTCATCTCGGCCTTGTTTTTAAAATACAACAGCTGGAACAGGAAGACTTTTTTAGCAGTTGAGAATATGTCTAATACCCTTATTGGATTATGGAAAATACAGGCTCCAAGGCATCCATTTGAAGATATGCTTGTAATAAGATTACATTAACAACTGACTGCTCACAAGAGACCACCTACCTTCTCTAAAGCACAGAGAGCGAAAACTTCTGGTGTCTCTGAAATAGTGCCACGTAAATGCAGAAAGTCCTCTGGAGTCTTACAAAGAGAGAGAGTGAAGGAGAGAGAGAGAGAGAGAGAGAGAGAGAGAGAGTAGAGAGAGAGAGAGAGAGAAATAGATAGATAGATATGATAGATAGATAGATAGATAGATAGATAGATAGATAGATAGATAGATAGATAGATAGATAGATAGATAATTATACGATTGTCCCACTCCGCACGATGCCTACGGTCATATATATCAGGGTTGATTCGACTGGCATGTAAACGTTCATATGCATCTAATGCATAATTCAGCAACCTATTATCGGGGGGTGCGTTGACACCACCATCCACCATCTTTCCCAAGACTTTCAGATTCAGTATTTGAACCTGATAAGCATTTAAACAGAGTTAAACTAGTAGCCATCGAATTTAGAATAAATATTAAAAAAAAAAATTCAACATATTGATTTTAGAGAGAGAGATAGATAGAGAGAGAGATAGATAGATAGATAGATAGATAGATAGATAGATAGATAGATACCTTCAGTCTCCAGGTGTGCTGGTTGTAGCTGCCCTGAATCTTGAAGAAGTGTTTGCTTCTTTGTCCACAGTTCAGCAGATAATCTGGTGGCTGACCCAGGGTGTCCACAATAAACTTCATCTGGTGACAGACACACACACAACCACAATGTCAAATTTGTTTTACTTGGAAGAATATAGCAATCTGATTTGATTTTGGAGCAGATATCTCTCTTGTAAAAACATTCTATTAAGGACCACGTCCAGGATCTGAGACTTTTTGCACTCTGTGACGCAAGACGATACTTACCATGTCAAATTCATGGTTTGCTGGAAAAAGCGGGAATCCCAGGGCAAGTTCTGCTGCGACTAGACCGAGAGACCACATGTCTATTGGCTGCATGTAGACCAGACCCAGAATGACCTCCGGGGCCCTGGGCCAAGACGAAATAGACAATATTAAACTTCATGTATATGAAAACTGTCATGCTGTTGTATTTAAACCCTTACACAGACACAGGCTTCTCCTGCTCGACACCTAACTGGCGGCACAAAGCCTCTCTGCCACATGTTGTCTTCTCTCGAATTGCTGTCCTCACCTGTACCACAGACTCTGCACACATGACACTGGGACAGCAGTGTACACATGGTGAGCAAGACCAAAGTCAATGAGCTTGACTTGCAGCGGCCGCTGCCTGCGATCCACGACCATAACATTTTCTGGCTTTAGATCTGCATGCATGATTTCCAGGGCCTCAAGGTGCAGCAGTGCTGTGGTCAGCTGAGGAAACAACAAATACTGAAATGACTCTTCTACTTTGGATACTCCTGAGAATAGAAAAGAGAAAAATCCAACATACCTGATGTAGAACTGGGCGGATCTCACCCATGGACAGAGACTGGAAACACCTCTGCTGCATGTAGTCGTGCAGACTCAGGTCCAGCAGCTCAAACTGCAGACAAATGAGTTCTTCATGGAGGAAGGAGCCAATCCAGCTCACAAGATGGCATTTGTCTGGATTCAGATTCTGCAGCTGTTTGAGAATTTTAATCTGTGGGAGATATGAAAGATTAGATTTTTATTGTTTACTGTCACTTAACAGACAAAACTACATGGTTTTCATTTGGGAAGGTTTTAGAAATGTGATAGATGTAATCACAGAATATTTTTACATGCATATTCCAGCTTCAGTTTTGATAAATGAACAGTTTGTGCTCAACCTCTTCCAGTGCTTGCTCAGTGAAAAAGGGATCGTCCTTGATTATTTTGATGGCCACCTTTGTGTTGGTTACAGTGTCTGCACACTTGGCGACTTTTCCAAAGGTCCCTTCGCCAAGAAAGGCCTGCACCTCGTAGCGGGAGGCCAGCAGGGTTCCTTCGTATATCGGGACGTTGACTGTGGAGGAGGAGGAGAGCAGAGAGGAGGAGATGGACACAACATGAAGTCATATGTTGTTACATAGAGCATGACACAGTCCACCTTACAGCACATACTATATACAATACAGGCAGATTCATTTCAATTTCACCTCATTAACAAGGAGGGGATTACTGCATCACAATAACATTTTTTTAAGAAATAAGGCTTCCAACCCTGATTTATTTACTTTATTCTAAAACAACTGGTTGACAGTTGTTTTAGAATTCACATCTGTAAAAAAAAAAAAAATATATATATATATATATATATATCAAAATAATCAGTTTGTCATTGATAAAAAAAAGGAAAGATTATCAATTCATAAGAAGTCCAATACTTATTTCATAACCACATAAATTTGAGATCTGTTTACAAACATAATTGATGACAGTTCAAAATATCAGACTTTTTTTTTTAAAAACACAATCAGCTTACCTGACATTCTGCTGAATGGCATGGACGATTATGAAACAAACTGAACACTAATGAAAAAAATGTCAGAAAAGTGTCTCTGTGTAGTCTCTGTCTCTCTGTGATGCTATGACATTATTGTTCTCTATATCATTATTATATCACATTCTGATTGGAATGGAGCTCCTCAGTCATTCATTTAGCATCTTTGTCTTAATGAGCACAGTCTCTGTAATTATCAAAAATAATCATGTTTTAAAAAAGAAAGTGAGCCACACGCCATTGTTTTCACAGAAATTATAATGTTTGAATTGACAAAACAGACAACAGATTTTTAATGGCTATTATAATTAGTATAAAATAATTTTTACAGCCTAAAAAACATATCTTTGAATGGAATCAAAACTGGTTTGTTAAAATGTAATACCAATTAGTAATGAAATGCAAATGTTGCATTCAAAATCATTGTTTTATTTTATTTATTTATTTACTTTATTACTAAGTAAAATGTACAGGGATGATAGGATGAAATACCTATTTAGGCTATACCAGAGTTGTGTTAAACTAATATCTGCTCAGTTTCTACCTAGAAATAGAAAATCAACTGTCAAAAAAATGTAAATGATGGCTCGTAACCCTGAATTGATTGAATTGAATGATTAGTATACATTAAAAAAAAAAAAAACTTATTTGTAACTTTCTCATTCTACTTATAGAAAAAATATGACATGTTTTTTAATTAATAATTAATAGCTTCTAGTCACTATAAACAAAGTTAAAAATAAATAAATAAAAAAAGTAGTAACGCCTAATATTGTGTCTGTGTATTAGCCTATGGCTGGCTGGGTCAGTAATATCTTTTTGATTTTATCTAAAACATTTTTATTAGAGAGCATTTCTTTTGTTTTATATGAATTTCTGGTTACATTTCTTTTAATTGCATTTCTTTTTTAACAAAGATTGGAATTTGTTTTATTTGTTCATTTGTTTGTCATAAAGCTGTATTTGAAACTCGAGTGCTGTATAAATAAAGAATATTAGTATTGTATTTGTATAAACGCTCGGCCTTTCTTTGCGGAGGGTCACTAGGGGGCACATTTGATCACCTGAAACTGTCGTGGTGGATCCTCGGGGCTTTTATTATGAAAAAAACTACAGCGCCGGGAATGTGTCGAGCACTACTTCCGCTAATCTTATCAGTGTGAGAGACTGATGTTTTGAGTCAGTCCGTTGATGCTTTTAGGTGAATCTACTTTCATGTGTAAGTGATCGTTTTAGTTTGGTTTGTAGTCGACGGTGTAGCATGTGTATCTACTCGCTATTTCTCTTAGTTAGTAGTTAATTAGGGCTAGCATGTAGCTAACGTTAGCATGTCTCAAGAGTAATACAAAGGGTGCAACAGAGGTAGCCCAAGTTAGCTTCATAGCTGAAATTGGAGGATGTTCCAACCACTGACAATGCTACAATTTCTCTGTTGACTTTTTCTCTTTTTTAAATGGCGAACAACAGAGTTAATATTGCGGAAGTTTCTCTTAACGGTGAACAATGTGACAAGTTGCAGTGTACAGCTGTAGATATCTCTTAACGAGCTACTTCTTATCGCGGGGTCACAGTCGTGTCACGTTATTTTAAAGCTGTCTCTGTCAGAGCAACAGGTTTGTTTTTATTACTGCCTCAGTGTGGCTCTCTCTATTTCAGGGAAGTGTTCATGTTGCGTTTTTAAAAGCTATGACAACTATAAATCCATGGTAATCTGTATATTGTTGTCAACAATGGTGAATATTATGGAATGGTAAACCGCATTCATTATAATCAGCATTTATATCTTATCAGGAGCTGCAGGAAGTCAACCTTCTCATCCCTCAAAATAAAGTTATAGCGTGATCAGCAGTCATGGATTCACAAGGTGAGAAACTTATATATTTCCAATGCTTACATTATTTTTTTTAATATGAGGGAAGGAACTACGACAGAAGCATTCAAACCCAGTGTCATTTAGCCTCTTCATACACATTCTTACTTAACTTAACAGGTCACAAAAATTTGGATTTTTACTCCTTGATTCAGCTTTTTCACAAGCTTTATATATTTTCTTTCAGTTCAAGTTTCATGCACATTTCAAGCCATTCATAAAGCAAAGCAGCTCAGTCTTTCTCTGTGTACTTCAACTCACTTATACAATGTTACTCTCATTTAAACATCTTTCACTTCTTTCACTACAGTTTATATTCTTCATCCCTTTCTCATTTTTCCATCTGTTCATATAACTTCAACTGCTTCTTCATACAAATTCAAGCCAGTAACGCACTTTAGCTTCAGCTTGGGCAGAGGCAGCAATCCCACCACAATTTCTTCACAAATTGCAGTTTCTAGTGTTATTGTAAAGTTTAGTGTTTCTGCTTTCATATGCAATGGGGTCCAAAAGTCACATTTGTGGAAAAGTGGCTGTTCATCGATTCATTCAGTTATTAAGGGCCTCACCTTACCATATAGAGAATTGATACCAATGAGTTCCATGCAGTGTGATACGGATGTGGTGCAGATTTATTAATTTAGGAAGAAGAGAGAGCTGGTATCTTTTGACTGTCTTTTGATGAGAGGCACAGTTTGTAGTGACAAACTCCCATTTGATCTTCCCCACAGCAACCCCACAGCCAGTCATATGTGAAGTCTGTGGAACATACTTTGAGACACGGCGAGGGCTATCCAGCCACGCCCGCCTGCATCTAAGGCAGCTCGGTGTGACGTTGTCAGAAAGCAGCGGAGCTCCCATAGAGCTCCTCTACCAGCTTATCGAGGAGAGAGATGGCTCCCTCCCCAATTTCAAAGCAGATTCCTCTACACCTGAACCAACTCCTCTCAAAAACACAACCCAGCAGGAGTCCACTCCCTCAGTACCGGAGGAAAAGAATTCCTCTTACAAGGCAGCGGGTCGAGTCACAACAACTCCCCAAAAAATGGATCATCAGGGATCTCCAGTTAGATTAAAAGAATCAGCAGCCACTCTCCTCCCGTCATCTCCATCTTCTCTTAGGCTCATTGAAGGCGGCAGCTCATCCTCCTTAGAGCACCAAACCACAACCAAGCCACTATGGGCACCACTGGAAACTGATGCCCCTATTAAATTAGGTATGGCTGAATTCTTAATAATTGTTTTAAAGAAATGTTGTAAATGGCGAGGTGTGCAGCTGTATGTGGAAGGCAGAATTTAGGGTAGGCTACCTTACGTAAATAAATAGCTTTAGAGGTTCCATTTTTGTTTTAATAAAACACATCTCATTAGTCTCCTGCTGACTTTGAACCTTTCTCCCATCATTTTCAGACACCAACGATGAGGTCCATGTGTGTCAGCTTTGTGGCTGCTGGTACGAGACACGCAAGGGCTTGTCCAGTCACGCTCGCGCCCATCTGCGTCAGATTGGAATCCCTGACAGTGACATTAAGGGCAGCCCTATTGATTTTCTTTATCAAATTATGGAGGAGGAGGACCTCAAACCCATCAGCAGTGATGAACAGGTGCCACCTACCTCAAACAGTCCCCCTAGATCCTCCTCCAGACGCCCTTCTGATCTGTCCTCTCCACCTGCATCTCCCCCCAACAAACGGCCTAAAACATCAGATGATTGTACCTGTGTTCTGTGCGGGGAGGAGTTTGAGAATCGTAAAGGCCTGGGCAGCCACGCTCGCTCTCACCTGCGTCAGATGGGGGTGACTGACTTGATGGGGAAAAGCTCTGCAATCGACACCATTCAGGAACTGGTCAGCAGTGGCATGTTAGAAGCCATGCACCCCCACAGAACAAACAGTGCATCCAGCTCATCTGCTGTGCCATCTACAGCCCCAGCCTGTCCTGTAGCCCCAGTACTGTCTCCAAGTCTGGACCAATCCCGGAGCCCATTTCCTTCCACATCCCTCACCCCAAGCCCTACAAAGACAACTCAGTCTCCTCAAACTGCTGTCAACAGGGCCCCAAAGGCAAAGAAAGGCTTTCGGCTAGCAGTGGACCCCCTCCATAGGAAGCCCAAGCCTGAGCCTGTGGAGATTGAGGTGTCTGTTCAACCGAAGGCATCCAGCACTATCGGCAGCTCTCCCACGCAGAAGTCGCCCGCTGCTGCTGTTGCTTCAAAGCCTTTCAGTGCAGGTAAAGCTGGCAGCCATACTTCTGTAACAGTGGTTGGCATAGGCTAGTTTAGTCTAGTAGTTTGTTGTTTTCATAATATCAAGTCATGCGCCAATTAAGTTAATTTGTACACCTACTTTTTTCCATTAATTAAATTATTTGTTTATATATGTACAGCATAGTTTGGATGTATCCTCTCAGTGTCCTCCACAGACATACAATCTCCACCAACAGTCCTTTGTGACTTCTGTGGCCAGCTGTTTGACACCCGCAAAGCCTTGTCATGCCATGTCCGTGCTCATCTACGCCAGCTCGGCCTCACCTGGTCGATCAAAACATCACCGATTGACCTCCTCAGAGAGGTCATGTTGCATGGTGAAGATGGCAAGAAATGGACTTCAGCATCAGGTAAAGCCACATGGACCCCACAAGGCTCCAAAAGGTCCCTGGATGGCCCCCAGTCGAGGGAACCAGCCTCCAGCAACTGTACCACACCTCTTGATTATTCCATAAAAGAGAAATCCCCATCCGGCAAGAGTGGAGCCACACACATTGGTAAGAAAGTTAACATTCAAGATGCTTGTGTCAGGTTCCATTGAAGAAAATGTTTTCTGACATAGTGGTGAATCTGCATTAAAGGTATAATCAGTGTTCTCCATACACTGTCTTGGCGCCGTGAATACTCAGTAGAGCACCAAATATGTGTAAGTCCACAGCTTGAAATAGTGACCAACAAATGCAGCTGTTACTCTACGTTTATTTAAATCTCGTTTGTTAGGAAATTACTAAAAAAAAGATTCACATCTTAAGTAGGAATAAATGGGGCCGAGTGCAACAGATTGGGAAATTAAGTTGGAAAATTATAAAAACATAGAATAGCAGCAGCTTTCTTCTTAGGGAGGGTAATTGATAAGATTGTATTGATACCAATGCCATTATAGATTCAGCTTGTCAGTCTGACTCTTTATTGATTTCCTTGTCGATTGCTGATCAGTTTTCTGTGTGGAAAAAAATTAGACCTACACACAGTTTCAGCGTCAATGCAGCTGTTTTATTATCTCTGAGTCTGAATATCTTAGAAACAGAGGAGGAAAAAGGCAGGCAACTCAGGTCTGAAAAAGCTCTAGTGTTTAAAAGAGCTATTTGTAAGATTTGCTACTGCTACATAGCTAATATTAGCATTAACAGCTGTTTACTTACTCGTTTTGCCAAGAGAGTGTCAGCCTGGTTAGCATGCTAACTTCAGGAGAAAAAAGGAGATAATAGAAATAGAAGCAGAGCAAGATTGTTGCTTTCAGCTCTTGTTCAGTGAAAGAATGAAGTTTGATGATGAACTGATGATGTTTCTTCTAGACTGGTAAGTAAACAGTTGTTAATGCTAACGTTAGCTAATGTAGCAATAGCAAAACTTACAAATTGCTCCTTTTTCAGGTTTTCTAAGTAACGGAACTCACTAAATTGGTAATACATGTCTAATACTCCTCTAAAATGTCTCATCTTCTTTGTGTCAGACACGTCCTGTGAGCTTTGTGGGTTTGACTTTGAAAACCGCAAGGCCCTGGCCAGTCACGCACGAGCCCACCTCCGACAACTGGGAATCATCGAATGGAAGGCCGACGGGGCGAGTTCGCCGATCGAACTCCTCAGTGAGTTGATCCGAAGGGACCCGGCCAAAGTGGCAGCAATAAACCGACGCTACCGTATGGGAGACCTTTATATCAAGAAGGTCGGCTGCGCTCTAAAATATGCTTAAAAGAAATCCCAGTCAGATTGAGATTCGGCCAAAGATGTATTAAATCCATTCAAATTTACTGTACATTCATTTTCTTTCAGTCCCAGAGAAGTGCTGCTTCGCCCTCCTTGTCCACAGACTCTGACTCTGTGCCTGGCAGCAGCATGAAGCCTGAGCACAAGGCGGGCAGAGAGGACTTGGGCATCTCTGCAGGCTCATCCAGACAATCACAAGGCTACACGCGGACTCTTGCAGCCCACACCCAGCCAAGGGGTGAGAAATGAAAGACTCTGGTAGATAGCTGGATACAGATACTGTAACGGATAAGAACATCTTTACTGTACACCGTTACTGTAATACCTCTCTGTGCAATTTCAGGTGCCCATCCACCAAAACACGCAGTGCCTACAGGGGAGGAAAATCAGGACACCAACTCCCAGCAGCCATCACGGTCCGGCAGTATCCCTGCTATGCTGCCAAAGCCCCCGCTAACACCGCTGGTCAAGCTGGTGGGCAAAGTCTACTCTCTCAAGTGCAGGTCAGTCTATAAAGTACAAAATATAAAGAATCACATTCCCATTGTAATCAGTGACTAATGGGGTTCAGACTGAAGCACTAACAGGGTTTATGTGTTAGCCATGTAGTATCATTCAGCAGTTTTATTTGTAAGCATATCTCTCAAACTCACAGAACTTTATTTTAAGTGTATGTAGAGCAGGTCCCATACCACATATGTCAGCTGTATAAAATGATGCACAAGACATTAAGAATATTTCCATTAAGAAACATGAAGTCTTGGGTTTGAATATTTCACTCAGTGGAAACAAAGAGCTTCATGAAGAGCTGGAACAAGAAGATACAGAATATAAATCACAGGCTCTGTTCAGACAGAACAGAGCGTCACTTCACACCTGGCTTTGAAATGCGTCTCCACATGCGTCTCGAGTGACCACTTGTGATCAGATCTCACTTCCCCGCTTTATATGCAAATGGCACTATGGTCTTAAGCCAATCTGACAGAAGGGTCTGTTGTCCATGTGAGAGAGAGAGTGGCAGCGGGGAATGGAGGGGTTGGGTGAATCAGCTCTACAATGACTAAGATTTTATCCATTGAAATAGTGAAGTATTTTCAGTTCATGATGAAGCTGTGGCGGGACTAATCAGACTGTGGCAGAGGATGTCAGTGGAGTACGTGGTCCTTCAGTGTGGCCCAGGACGCATTTGCGTTCCGACTGCTGAAAACGAATGTGGCCACATGTGGCCCACACCAACCCTGAATGTGGTCTGAGTGATCGGATCTCAAATGCGTCCTCAGTGCGTCCTGTACTTAAAGCTGTCCACTTGTGATTGGATTGCCCAAGACTGACGTTAGTGCCAGGTCTGAACAGGGCGATAAAGTCAGACTGTTTGGAATAAGATGATTTTTACAACTTATAGCTACTTAAGTAGAAACAAAAGGGAAACTCTGCACTGCGTTGTTCATTTAGACAACAAAACAACAATTCATTTTCTTATAAAAATCACAGTGATGAATGATGACCGCTAAGTATTTATTTGTTCCCCAGTCATACACGAGATGCACCCTGTTGTTTAATTACATTATCAAGCAATTGTTGTACCTTGTGTAAAGCAGTTCAAATCACCCGTCTCTCTCTGTCCTGCTGTTCAGGTTCTGCGAAGAAGTGTTTCACGGACCTCTGTCTGTTCAAGAGCAGTGGATCACACACCTGCAGAAACACATCCTGTCACTGGGCTACAAAGGCAAAGCATCTCCTCCCGCTGCACCGGTGGCAGCTCCAGCTCTTGTACATCCAGTAGCTGTCTAGTCCATGAAGTCTTTCTCTAATTCATATTAAAAAAGAAGGTTGTCATTTTTATCATCATGTCAAGAGTCGAGAGGAAGTGTGCATTTTCAGGTACTACATTGCAAAATAGACTTTCCCTTCTTGTCGGGGAAAGGGCAAATATGAGTCGCACTAGGAAAGCAGCATAATGTGGTCCACTCAGGTGAAGTCCAATAGATCACAGTACTGATACTGAAAAAATAGTTCATCCCTTATTTTGATTATCAGTGGTTTCCTCCTGCTGCTCACACATTCCTTCCATTTGTACTAATGTTCAATGTGTTTGAATGTGATTCAGTGTTTGTCATTAACCAACAAGTCCCACACTGAGAGAGTGATCCTGGCCAAAACGAATTTCTCTTCTTGGTTTTGCCTTTGAATTGAGCCTTCTTTTATAAATGTATGTTTTAAGTGTTTTACTTTAAATCTGCAAAGATTTTAGTTTTTCCATCAAATGGAAAAACATTTTAGAAAATTACATCACTGATACCAGAAAGTGGTAATGTCTTAAAAATCAGAGCCTCTGCCATCTTGACCGTAGACACACTGTGTTTCTGTTCTTCTTCAGGTATAACTGCTAATCACAAACAGTTTTTTGGTCTTTTTACATTACTTTTCTTTTTAACACTTGTTATGTAAATTAAATTCTCTCTTGTATATAAACACAGTGTATGAAACACACTTTTTATTTACAAATGAAAATCAATGGAGATGAGTTTCTTTAGGAGTAAATAATGAGGAACAGGCTGCACTTCAGCAGGAAAACTCATAATACAGATACAGTTTGTCCACATTGGCAATAGATACACTTGTCTTAGCAGTTTCTCATATAATCCAATGTGTTGAACAATCTTCCATGATATGCAGCACATTAATTCTCCCATTCACACACATGTATTGTTGTATCCTCTCCTTTAAATTGTGTTTTTCTGTCAAACTTTTAAATAAATGTTTGGGAACTTTTGTTCACCTCTCCTGTTTTGTTTCTTCTCAGCTACACATTGATCACATCATGTCTTTGTTGTTTTGAGACGTGATGATTTCTTTCTTTTTTTATATTTTTTTATTATAGCATTTTATGCTTTTATTAGAGGATACCCAGTCTGGACAGTGAGATGGGGAATGACGAGCAACAAAAGTCCTGTGTGAACATGAGTGTATGTGTCAGTTATAATGGACCAATTATGATGGAGCCCCCCCTGATAGGAAGTTTTCTGTCGTCCGTATAACTTACTTTCTTGTCTAAGACCTTGTCATTGATGTGTCTCATATTTGAGTCGACCAGGATGTAATTCCCTCTTTTGGAAGAACCTGTGAACAGCAATTTGTTGCATCACTGCAGAGAGTTTACAATTTATTCTCTAGATGTTTTTTTTTTTTTTTATTTCAGCATCAGGCTGCAACACTTGAAACAAACAAAATGTGAAAAAAAGTGAAGGGCTCTGAATTCTTTCCGAATGCTCTGTATTTCTGGCTCCTGTTGTAGTTTTTTGTTTTTTAAGTTCCTTTGTTTACACATTCCTTGTTCCTTCTCTGCCATATTGTAATTACAATATCTCTTCATTGTATAAACCAACAAACTCAAAGACTTAGATAACATTTCAGCTCCATGGAGCATTGTTGTTATGAAAATGTGGAAATCATGGAGAGAAAAGCTGCACATTCAGCATCAGAGCTATGAGTCATGTTGTTCTGCTAAGCCAGGACCTCACCAGCACAAGTGTGTGTTTCTGCACTCCTCAGCCCTGGAAATGTTTTGGTAGACATCACGTGTCTTGATGCCAGCAGTGACTTTTAATGTCTGTCTGTTTATTTATTTATTTTTTGCAGAGAAAAACATCTCCGAGCTGCCATCACTCATGACCGTAGTGTTCATAGTGCGGCTTCTCATTTGATTACCTCCACTTTCCAGGGCTATAGTCATCAATGTGTTGACAGGGTGTCATTAATCTTGCTACCTACAGTATATGGCTTCTGCAGTAAGTCCTATATCCTTTATTGCTCTTAGATGGACTGCAAACCACTCAGCTCGGAGAAGGAGGAAAGGTTTCAATTGGTAAACCCCCATAAAGAATAATCCGCCTCCTTTGTCTGCTCTGATTCTCTCAAAACATGATGTAGTTTTTACATCCTCAAAAGAAAAACACATTATCATTCAAATGTCTTTATTACTATGTATGTGTGGGATCAGACTGAAATCTAAACGACTGCTGAAGTGTCTCGCACGCTTCCCAGGAGAGGGAAATCTTTATGCACTTGTATGTTGAACAGTTGTTGAATTGACCCTCTTCTGTGCAGTGATTAGAAAGCATCTCACCGGAGAGGCTCTGCTGGAGCTGAGAGGATGATCCATAGTCGGTTTCCATGCACCATAATGCTGTTTCTGTTTTCTGCTCTGTCTCCAGCACACACAGCACATGATCTCCACCCTCCTCTGTCTCTCTGTCACTGACTCTGTTCAATGTCCCCGTCACACTTACGGTCCCTGGAGTCTCATACTGTGTGATTTACTGCCAGAGGGAGTCCGCCTCCAGCCACTGATAGACAAATCTTCCCCTCTGCTGGTACGCTAAGCCAATTATGGAGAGAGCGAGTTGACCCACCTGACTAAATCTGACCAGGCTGTTGCTCACAGCTATCAACGCCTGACGGTTCAAACATAGACGCAAGGGACTCAAAGAGGGAATTTCAAAGCAGTCACTGAAGCGAGAGCCTAAATTAGGCACACATCTGTCTTCCAGGGTTGTGGGATCTGGGGGATCTGGCATTGTACTTTTGTGGTTCATGGGTTTTTAAAACCATCGTGGCTTTATTATGGCTTCTTTTTGCAAGGAAGCTGGACAGTAGGCTACTCGTGACAAAACTGCAGGCATGATTGTAGACATGAGAAACACAACAGGGAACTGAATATCTTATTTTTATAACCATAAAATACCAAATAATTTTCACAGTAACGATGTAATTAAGGTGACGTTTGTGGGCTTTTTGGGAACAATTAAAGGGTAAATTAATGGACCATAAATTCTTTTGGTTGTTTTTAAATGGAGTTTCTGCAGTGGAAAATCTTAAAATTTACCAAATAACATAATTAATTTCCATATTTCTCAATTAAAGGACCAGTGTGATCTAGTGGTGAGGTTGCAGATTGTAACCAACTGAATACCCCTCACCCCTCCCTTTCCAAGCATGTATAGGACAACCTACGGTGGCCTTCAGGTAACGTAAAAAACGCAAAAGGCCCTCTCTAGAGCCAGAGCTTGGTTTCTCCGTTATGGGCCACTGTAGAAACATGGCGGTGACACATGGCGGGCTCCGTGGAAGAGGAACCGCTCCCTATGTAGATGTGAAGGGCTCATTCTGAGTTTAAAAAAAATGTGATTATATCCTTAAATCCTACACACTGGTCTTTTAAGCAGAAGATTAATGGGTGACTTAAATGATTTTTGTTTTTCAAATTCTAAAACTCTGAAGCTCGAAGCAGCTTTTTTGCATTTAGCAAGTTTAGTAGCAAACCAGTCATTTTGACTTGTCTCACACGGATGTAGCTAACAACAGTCTTTACTGCCGCATGGCATTGCTTCAGTCAAACTGTCTGCTTTGAGAAGGGTCAGGCTGATTCATTTGGGAACAACAGTGACAGCTCTTATCTACTCGTGTGAAAATTGTTTTTACTATTTTTACAGCTTTCAGACAGAAACAAGAAGGAAATAGTTTAATAACCACTGTTTTAGTCCTCTCAGGGAGTGAATGTTGATCCAAAAAAATGAAGTGTTGCTCTGTAATATGAACATATTAGTCATCACAGATTTGTGAGGTGATAAAAAAAAAAAAAGACTAACGACAAAGACAAAGCAAACAAAATAAACAGAGGAATACAATATGAATTCAACCTGGTGGCTCTGTGGTAGACAAGAGACAAAACAGAAATATGTGTAAATATATAATAAATATTAAATAATTACATCAATTAATTGATTGGTCTGAGTGATTGTCATGTTCATTTATATTTGCTCTATGTGTGTGTTTGTGTGTGGGGTGTCTCAAAAGTCTAAGTCTTCTAAAAATCTGTAACGAAGAAATAATAATAAGCAAAGCCAAGTTTGACTCAGCAGATAATGCAAATAAAGAAACCAACAAAACAGCCTGTACAACATGTACAACATGTATCAACATGCACCATCAGTCAAAGCATACTTAAATATAATTTCTAAAATGCGGTCTCAAGATCTCACATTTATGAGATATACTGTTATCTGCCCTAACCTTATCTACTGTATATTACCTAGAAGTGGTAACCAGTCATGTGTAATAGTAAACAGCTGTCTAATCCATTGCACCACTATTCAAAACATGTCTAATCCTGCACTCTGAAAAAATGTACCTAGTTAAATGGCTGATGGCTGTGTTTGTACATTTACCAGATGGTTTGAAGTCTTCACACCAGCTCCATATCTGGTGATACACTGATAGTGATGGCAATATCTGGAAACACCTGGTATGTCTTAGCTAAGAATATATTTCCCCTAATATCCAGTCATCGAGTGCACTAAATCAGTTTTTCTCCAAGTGAGCTTGAGTTCGTCCCTTTAAAGGGATATTAAGGTAGGAGTTTATGACTGCTGTTTCATTATTTGGGAGGAAGCGAGAGAGGGGATCAAAAGGGAACAAGATTTTCTCTCCCTCCTTGAGTTTGTCAATGACTCAAGTGCCTGGAAGTAAATTCTTCCAGCATCTTCAATATGATTTATAGTATGTTTTAGGGGCTTGGCAGAAGACGGAGTTTTATCACATAACTTGTGGCTTCGCAATCATCCCTCAGAGAGGACAGATTCCCCGAGACTGTGCAACTCTGGCATTGTTTCATTTGTACTTTTCCGTTTCTGTTTTCTCCTCGTTTCTAGTCTCTGCCTGTCTCTCAAGGATGAGAGGTTCACACACACACACACAGACACATGCACACACAACACACGCACACACACACACACACACACACACACACACACACACACACACACACACACACACACACACACACACAGAGGAGACTGTTTCCACCACACATCAACATATACAATTATAACTGTGTATCTGCTACATTAATGAAACAAGCAAGTTTCATCTTGAGTTTTTGTACCAGGACTAAAGGCATCAGTGGATCACGCAGCATTTTACTGCGCTGTCATTATCAGGCGCTCAGGTTATGATTAAGTCATTAGAGTGCACATTTCTGCTCTGTGTGTTTTGCAGTGTGTCATTTTGTAGCAGCCTCCACTGATACTGATACGAGCACAGAGCCTCTCCCAGGAGGCCGTGTGCTGCTGGTGTCATCATGCCAGTGTTCCCGAGGTTTGTGAGATGACCTCGCATAACTCCTGGGTTGAGGTCACTACAGACCCTGGATCAGTCAAACACAATCTGAAACCTATTTGCCACAAGCAACTAATCACTCCAGTGATTTACAGTGGAACAAATACATGACCCGTTGCCAAGATGCTTTTTGGAAATCCAGCCCAGACTCATAGTTGTGTATTACAACTCAGCTTTACAAGAAGTTAACAAGCAAAAGCTGTGCAGGCCTGGAGAGAGCAAAACAAAACACCAGCTCACCAACTGATTCAACAGCTGCAACAGCAACAGATGTGGGTCAGACAGGACACATGTCTATCTCTGACCCACAGTGCAGAGCAGGACAACGTGAATGTAAAGTGAATGGCTGCAATTATGAAATTCATCATGGATAAAACTATCAATACATTAAAGTTAATTTAAGAGAGGAAATAATATTTTCACCCTCTGTAATGACCTGTTGTCATTACATGATAATGCTGATTAATAATGCTTTGTGTTTGTCAAAATATCAGATTTTCATGTTTCCAAGGCACAAATTAGATACAGAACTTATTTATCAGAGTCCTGCTTTTAATATTCTTCAGACTGATGTGTGATAGTGATTG